CAACGTTGGGAATTATCATAACTAGTATAGCAGAGAACTTCGGGCAAGGTGCACAAAACTATGTCTCCCTGACAAGGTTGGATACAATTTTTAAACTTGCATTTTTCCATTTCAATTGACTACACTACTTATGAAATGTATTCATTCTATTTAATGAGGGGTGACACGGGGACTGGTAATTTAATTTTCCCACAATGATATGGGTAGAGATGACGTCTCCATTTAATTTCCTGACTTTCTAAAAAGTTATTCTCATCTAGGCAAAAGTGTACTACAATTTCGACCTCGTCTAGGTTTTAGCAACACTCCCAGAGGGACTCGAACCATGAAATTGAAGTGCATAATCACGATATGTTAATCACTACGTAACATTGCCACGAGTACACTTTAATACGATCATATATCAGTTGTACTGATAGTCTCAAAAGTCCACTTATAAACGAAACATAAGTAACGTAGTCGTTTGCAATAGCAAGCACATCTGTGCTTCATCGACAATCTCACAACAGAATGGCAAAATTCTTGATCTTCCATAAAATTTATACCTGTTCTGCGACCCAAAGGCACTCGTGGCAATGTGGCGTAGTGGTTACTGTGTCCAGATTATACGCCGTAGTGTCATGGTTCGAGTCCCGCCTGGGGTGGTGATAAGACCTCGGTGAGACCGAAACTGCAGTCCACCTTGGATAAGAATACCTTTTGAAATAGAAGGCTATGTGAAACTCAATGGAAAAGTAGAGTTTACTCATACCATTGTGGGGAAATTCAACTAAAAGTCCATTTATCGCCCTAAACTAAATAAGATGAATATATCTCGTATATGTGATCTGCTGGTAGTCTTGAAAGCCTACCTATAAATGAAAAATACACTACTTATATTCAAACAAGGTAGGGAGGAGACAATGTAAAATTAATCAACATCGTGTGGTCGGCCTGGTCATATCATTGTGAGAATGACTCTATTGTCGCCCTCAAGCATGTGCAGACGAGTGCGGATCTTCGAATGGTATCTAGGGCGGGGTTGACTTTACCTGATTCGCTCGGGCGGCGGGTTGTCGTGGTACCGTGGCGCTTTGACGAGACGGGTCAATGCAGGCGTCAGGCCAGTGGTTCTGCCCACGCGCTGGAGGCCCTGGAGCACACGGTCCAGAGAGACACGCAGGAAGTCGAGGTCCTCGGGGCAGAGGGGCGATGAACTCGGAACGACGGGTGAGTCTGAATCGCGTCGGCCAAGACCGCAGGCAAGACCAGGACCGGGGCTGGGAGAATCCGAGTGCTCGGGGCACCAAGCAGGCGAGACGAGATGTGACGGCAGTGAGGCTTTGGGGCTCGTGCCACTAGACATGTAATGGGAAGACGCCTGGGCTGCTGGCAACAGACTGGCATACCTACTGTCTGATTGGCTGACGGGCTATTCGACAGGATCAAGGAGGAGGGAAGAACATGAGAGGAAAGATCCTTTAGCAGAAGGAAGATAGAGTGACGTCTTTTTGCAACAACACCCTGGATACTGGCGGGACGAGGAAAAAGTAAGGGGCACCCGACCACAGCACCAACGGCACTGGTGGCCAACCCTCGGTTATTGCTAATGTTGAAAAAGGCGTAAAGATGAAGAGACGACGAGCAAGAGGTGAAGAAAATGAAAACGCTCGGCCCTGGTGCCAATAGGGTTTGCGCGTTTGTTTGACCTGGCCAAGAGACCAGCTTGACACGGAGGCTTAAACTCTTCAAGGCTGGCAGCGCCAGTTCCACGAAGGTGCGGAGCATACACACACACACACACACCAGTTTGTATCTGCCTGTTTTGTCCGTCTGTCTGGAAGTTTGCATGTGTGCGGGCAGAGTGCAAATGTCTGGACAGCTGAATGCCAGCTATCCTTCTACATGTCCTTATGGCCCAAATGTCCGCTCTGCTGTAGCGGGATGGATCCCTTTGTTAGTTTGTCCATCTGCCCATTTGTGTGCAATTGTTTTTACCTGCACTTCTGACTGTCCATATACCTGGCAGTGTGCATCGGAAGGCTTTGCCTACAGCCCCCCTAGCCTCTCTGAAAGCCTAATTGTCGTAAATGCTATATTTCGATGCAATGAACAGTCAATTTGCCGTCTCAAAAGTGGTCGCGCAAACACCCAAAATTCTGATCTCTCTACTATGGTTGAAACAACAGCCCGAGAAACGTACCAATGATGCCTTCTCCGATCAATACAATAGTCGTGTCGCCCAAATCTGGATCTAGGAGTCACCAGTTCACTGAAAAAGTCAATCTCCGCCCAATCTCCGTCGCTCGCCTGGAGAGAGAAAAGTTTCAGAGTTCCAAATGCCTTTTAAAGTACTTACCAGAAGAACATACTTTATTAGCCAGACCCCCAACACAGAAAATTTCTGCAATCGCTAGAATAGATGTCTGACGGCGAATCCCGTATCCGATCAAGAAAAAAACAATGAAAAAGCCCCAAAGCAAAAGATGGCAACAACTTCTTTGCCCTACTTGATCTCCCCATCTCACCTACTGCCAAGTTGACCGCCTGATTGGGGAGCTAATGAGTGGGACTTCAACGTAATGAGGGATGGAGGGAGGCAAAGACAAGCTACGACAGATCGGTCGGTCGGCGGAGTGACCAGGCAAATGATCAAACTTCACGATACCGCCAGAATGTAATGAATAAAGTTGCATTTTATGGTGATTGATCGCTGAGGTCAGATTCAATGTCAAGCCAAAGGGATTGAAAGGATAAATTCTAAAAATCAACTTCTTAGATTTCCTTTGCTGTTAATTGCCTGGAAAGAAAGTGTCCCTAAGTCTGATCCGATGGCGACCAGCTTTGCCTTAAACTCTTCCATCCTCCGCTTATGACGCATATGAACTGTGTGCTGGCCTATAGTAACGCTTAATCGTCCATTAAAAGAAGAAGCGTCTCCTCTGTAGGCAATGTTACCATATTATTTTTTTAGCTCAGAAGCAGGTTTTCAAGACCACCAATAAATCTGACACAAGTGCTGCATTCACCCTATTTCGATTAGGGTGATGAAATTGCTCACGATCCTATGAAAATGTCTTACGTTCATATAAAAATTCTCATAGCCCTGCTTCCCAAACGCTATTTTCCTCCAGGCTAGAGTGGACTACAGTTTCAACCTCATCCCGGTCTCATACACACCCCCAGCAGGACTCAAACTCGGCCAGGGAAGCGTGTGGTCTAGCCATGTTAACTACTAGGCCAGACTGTCGCGAGGGCAGAAATGAATTTAATGAAAGATCATGCCTTTCCTACTTTAAAACGATAATAAGTAATGTAGATACGAAGAGTAAATGGGATACTATGAATCTCCTGAGATAATATTGTTGAAGAGACCTTCATTTCGTATGAAAGTGCATGAAGAAGGGATTCGCAGATCGATCTCACCACAAGAGGACGGTTGAATCCCGTTGTACCGCAGCTGGTTGGCTTTAATATGACATTCAGGTTGACGCAGTCCACGAGATATCCTCCCTCGCTTCGGGTGAAAACTGGCTGAGCTTTTGTCCATCATAAATTGGGCATCATCAGAACTTCAACTTATTCTTGTAAAAGTCTCATGTTAACGCTAGGTCAAGAAGACTATCCGGCTCCAGAAATAAGGGTGGATGTCTCGTAGACAGTGGGATTCAGCCGTAGTCTCCTGGTTATATCAACCTACAATTCTCTTCTTTATGTACTTGCATACGAAATAAAGGTCTCTTTGACGAGTTTGTAGCTTTGTGCAGAGAACGGTAGCACTCACTGATGATACCGACTACGATGCTAGAGGAACGTGTAAGACTGTCTGATGTTGGGAATTATGATAATAATTATGGGAGAGGATTTCGGACTAGGTGCATTCTAATAAGTCTTCCGGAAAATAATACCAAGTTGCGACAACGAGATCAACCCACTTTTACGAACCTTTTCTTTATGCACTTTCATACAAAACGAAGGTCTCCCCAATAAGTAATGTAGTCGATTGTACTAC